GGTTAATTTTAGAGAAAATAACATGGGCTACGATGAAGTAGACCATTGTTGCAGGCCCAACGTAAGGCAATGGGCAGCGCGCTGGACCAGAGAATGGGAGAGCCAGGATCAAGACAAAGCATGGGTAGCAAGAAAACAGCAAGAAACCCCCTCCCCCACCCCAGACAAAAAAACAATAAAAAATGGTTTTGTTATTTACACATTTAATGTCATTGATATACAGCATTAACCCACTAGGGGGTACTGTCGGGACAGTCTGAAGCCATTCTATGGGACGGATAACCGCTAATAACGTCCATTTAATGGACTGATAACGTCAGAACTGGCTGCTGAAATAAATCAGTTCACTGACATTTTGCATTATGAATATTATCGTTTTTACTTTCTGAGTCTATTTGAGTTATAACTGTTTGTCTTTTTTCAGGAACAGGAAGCACAGTGGTACTGAAGTCATCAAAACACCTCTCTAAAAGAAGCACAAGCCATGAAGAGAGTGACACTTCGACCCCAGTTACCTCTCCCTCTCCCACCAAAGAGAAAACTGTATTTTCAAGGTTCTCCAAGCAGAATGACAACATCAAACCACATAACAAATGGACTGGAAAGGATTCATCTGAGGCCTTGTCATCTGGGAGCAAGCTGCCCACAAGGGGTCAAAGAAGCTCATACAAAGGAAAACCAAAAAATCAGCAAGAATCCGCCAAATCCGAGGACTCGAATCCTAACACAACTACAGAGACCGCTGTCAAAGCTAAATTTCCTGCCACAGCAGAGAAAATGAAGAATAGCGACAACAGGTTTAAGATCAAACTGAAAGAAGAGAAAGACACAGAGGGTTTAGAGGTGAGCATTGGTAATACAACACCTGGAGAGAAATCAGAAATCCAGCCACTCCAAAATAGTGATGCAAACATCATGGACAATTCTCTRGTAAAACTTTCAGCAGCTACATACTCTATAACGGAGACAATGCAGCTCAGTGATGCTGACAACGAAAAATCATCTCAGTCACATGTTAYAGACATAAATAATGCTGAAACTGAAGGAGGAGGGGTGAGTGCCAGACACACAAAAGATGAGATTCAATCAGAAAAGTGTTACATTCAGACTGATAAAACACAGAGGCAAGAAACACTGTTATCATCAACAACTTCCCCTGGAATAAAAGACAAAGACATATTAGAGGAGCTAACAAGTAACRCAACACCTGAATTAAGCCAGGTGCAGAAAATCACTGCAGCTCTGTCCTTGGAAACAACTCACAAAGACGTAACCGATATGTCAGCCAAACCTGGGTTGGATGATGGCATTTCCTCTGACATAACAACCTGTTCTAACCAGGAAGGGGTTTCAATTTGTAGCAGACCCTGTAAAGATAAAAACACAGACACTTCCATTTCAGAAGGAAGAGATGGTTTGTCAGCTTTTCTGACCTCAGAAGGCAGATATACTGAACCACGAGATTCACACTCACACATTCTCCCTGCAGCATTGAATAATGCTACAGCTGTCAATGCAGAAGACATTTTGAAGGTTGAAACCAYAGAAAAAAATGACAGCCTGTCCCAGAAATTAGTGTTGGATGCAGTAAAAGATTTTGACTTGCAGGAGCAAAGTAAAGGGGAGGTTGGCTGGAAACCAGCTGAGGCTTTGGACRTTGAAACAGAGACTGTAACTGTTTGTGAATTTCCCAAGAATGTTGAAAATCAGTCAGACAAAGAGGCCCTTTTAAAAGAGTCTGTGTGTAGGGAGTCCAAACCAGACAAAACACTTAATAACGCAGCAACAGAAAGCACAGACTCAAAGAAAAGTAGCACAGAGGAGCTSAAAAACAGAGCTGTGGAGGGTGAAGGACTTACAACTTCAGACAAAGCAGTGAGGCCATCGTCAGAAGAAAAGGGCTTACAGCCTGAAACTAAAGTGGAACCAGAGGTAGTAGCTAAAAACAAGTTGGAAGGAAAGGAGGCAGAGCTAGCAAAGAGTGAAAAAACTGCTAGAGAACAGCAGATCGTCTTACAAGGAACAACAGAGAGTGGTGTTAGGAATACAAATGSACCTGAGCAGCAGTCAAAGGTCCTGTTGCTTAAAGATGAGGAGGAAACCAAACAACACTTAAACAAAGAAGTTGAGGATAACTACAAAGATGCTGATAAAGTAAAAGACAGAGCATATCCAGAAATATCAGTCACTGACACAAAAATATCCAGTGCTAAATCTGAAGAGGACAATAACAAAAAAGAGGAGATGTCAACTGCCAGAGACCAATCAGCAGAGTCCAAATGTCTAAAAGTTCACCTGGGAAATAAACTTGATCCAACACAAGCTCTAAATGTTTTAAACCTAGTATCTCAGAGTGCTGAATGTATGGATAGTAACACAAAAGCAAATGAGTCACAGTTGATGTGTTCAGAGAGTAAGACAAAAGTTTCAAACAGTGATACTCAGTCTGGATCACAGTTGGAGTATAAGACTGTAGGTGCTTTGCCTCAAGATGTTGACACAAAAGATCACGACAGACATTTGAATCATGAAAAAGAGATAAGGAATGAAGAAGAAAAAACCATGGGGACTGAAAAACTTGATCCAGCTCTTAAAGAAAACTCGCAAACTGAAGGAAGCAAAGAGTCAGTTGAAGCCAAAGAGTCCGCAGAAGATTTGAGGAATGGACATCCAGTTGCTCTCAGTGAGGAAAGCCTGCAGCAAGTCCAAATGATAAAAACAGTTAGCACTAACAATGAAAAAGTAACAGTATCAAAGTGTTCAAAATCTGCCATAAATAAGAAATCAAAAACAGACGCGCCAGAGGAAGCAACAGAAAGTCAGTTTCAGGAGTTAAAAATTACAACCACCACAGGTCAGAGTGCTGATGGGGCCGACTCTAAAACAAAGGATGTATCAGAGGACAGTTTGGTGAATGTGTCAACAGCTGCAACCATTACAAAGAAAACTGAATTTGTTCAAGACCTAATAAAAGCAGACAAAGGCATGCTGACAGAGTCTGCATCTCTGAATCAAAAAGCASAAGAGTCAAAGACTGTAAGCATGGAAGTTCAAAAGAATAAATCAGAAAAGCAGGTACAGGAGACAACTCAAGTTCCTGACACAACAGGCACTTACAACAAAGAGACGAATCAAATCAAAGATTCATCTTTAGGACGTTTGGTGAATGAGACAGCAGCGCTAGATAATAAAAAAGTTTGCAACGAAAAGGTGGAGAAAATCATAACTGCTGCTGAACAAGAAGTGGACAAAATAACGCCAAACTTGCAAGAATTGGCAGAGTGTGACCTTCGTAGTCATACATCAAAACAAGAACCACACACTGAAGATGCTGTAGTTCAAAAGAAGAAGTCAGAGAAGCAGTTATTCGAGACCACTCAAGTTCCTGACGCAACAAGTACTTCCAACAAAGAGACTAAAGAGAGAGCTGAAGACAGAGATTCACCAACTATGGTTAATGTTTGTGAGGATACCACAGTGGAACCAGCTCAAAAACCTACAAAATCAAACACTCACTTGAAACTGAATCTAGAAACTGTGGGAGTGGAAACTCTAGAAGAGAATAAAGCGAGTCAAACTCAAGAGATAAAAGTTGTAACCACTATAAACCAGAAAGCGAGTCAAACTCAAGAGATAAAAGTTGTAACCACTATAAACCAGGGCGCCAAAGAAACTAAACACATCCCTAAAACAATGAAAGCATCAGTGGGCAGTTTGGTGAAGGATTCAGGAGCTGTTAATATAACTAGTGGACTTGAAATTCAGCAAGTTGAAAAGCCTATGACTCCTGAAGATCAAGAAAGCAACTTAAAACCAGAACAAGACAAATTAGCCATGTCTAAACCAGAAATTGTAAGAGCTGATGTTCAAGAGAAGATAGAAGARAGACAGAGTGTGGATACCTCCCAAGATTCTAACTCTGGATATAAAAGCACCAAAGGCACAGAGGAAAAGACTCAAGTTGAGGATTCTTCTTTAGTGGGCTTAGTGACTGAGAAAACAGCAGGTTATATTAGTGAAGTAAACAACAAACAGGTACAGTCCAAAACTTTACAAGAACAAGATGTGGTCACAATAAGACCAGATCAAGAGTCTAAACGTTCAACTCTTGACCTGCAAGATAGACTGAAGTCTGTGAGAACGGACACTACAGATGAGACGACAGAGACAAAACCTACAGTCACTATAAGTCAAACAATGGAGACRTCAGAAGACAGTTTGTTGAATGTGATGACAACAGCAAACACTTCAAGCAAAGTTGGAATGATTCAAGATTCAAAACCCAAACTTTCTGGAAACCAAGGTACAGACAATATAAACTTAGACCAAAACACATCAGCAGAGTCTAAATGTCAAAGTCAAACATCAGAACAAGARCTACAGGCTGTAAGATCTGACGTTACAGAGAAAACAACAGAGCTGCCGAGGGTGGATGTAACTCAAAGGCCTAGCACTGTAAACGCTTCCAGTGAATGTCCAAAAGAAATGCCTGAAGTCRTGGAGTCATCTAACACGTGTTTGGTTAATAAGACAGGGACCACAGAGCCGATCCAGAGTTTTAAAACTAATACAGACATAACAAAACCAGACCATAGCAAAGTGGCAAATTCTAAAGATCCAAATACTGACATGAAAGAAAAACCAGAAACTGCAAGAACAAAACYCCCTAAAGAAGCAGCAGAGACTCAAATTCAAGAGCTACAAATTAAAAGCTYCGCGGTTCAAAATGTTGAGGAAGCTAAAGAAAACTCAGAAGCCAAAGTGTCATTAATAGAAAATTTGGGGAATAAAATTGTGACTCTAGCAAGTGCCACTGACTCTAAAGCTCTTGATGTTAAAGAACGTGAGACCAAGACTTCAGTTACAGATGTTCAGGAAAAGACAACACGTATTGCTGAATTAGTCTCTGGTAATAATAATGCTAATGTGACTGATGCAGAACAAAAAACAAAAAGCCTGATTAAGATTGGAGCTGAACTTAAAACCAATGTGATTGATGAGGATCGGCAGTTAAAAGTGTCAAAGGTAGATGTCAAGAAAAAGCTGGAATCCAAACTACAAGAGAAAAAAATGATGCCAATGTTTGACAAGCTTTTGTCTCTTTCTGCCCCATCCAACCCATCCTCTCAACCTCAAGGTTTTCAGCTAAACACAGACTCTCCATCTTGCTGGTTAGATGTGGAGCACCATCAGAAAAAGAAGAAGGAAAGCAAARGCAGAACAAGAGCATCAAAAAGCATAGATGAGTCTCTTGACCCTGATGACATTGATGATTTTCTTAAGATTGTTAAGAAAGGAGGAATTCCTTTTTCAGTGCCACTAAAGAAGCGCGTTTGCAAAAAGCCCCAGCCTCAGCCTTCTGTCATGCCRGCCATCAGGGAGGACCATTTTGAGCGAACATTTGATCCGGAGGGATTCCAATTTGGCTTAAGAAAAAATGACAAAAAAATGGATCTTTCACCAGCCATGGTGATAAAACAAAAAGCAGCGGAGAGGGAAGAACAAAACCTGGAAAAACAGTCTCAAGAAAATGGCACCTCAACATACCAAACAAACTCAATCAAGGTAGACAAACAAAACGGGGTCAAAGAGGAGACCCAAGTTGAGGCAGGAAGAGTAGAGGGTCAAAACAATGAGCCTGGAAAAATGACATCAAGACTTGAAAGGATGTCTATTCTCTCTAGTTTGAGAAGTTCCCCTCGAATCTCCAGGAAGACCAGAGAGGAAGTTACCTCTGCCTCAAATACTACCGCTTCTTCCAACCAGCAGCAAGACATGCCCTCTTTTCAACGGGTGGGGGCTATTGACTTACCTTTGCCTGCTGTCAGAGCTGATAACAGGGGTGTAAAAGGTACGGATCAAGGCTCAGTTACAGGAGGTGGGACAAAATCAGCTAGTGAGTCAGCAATTAGCCCCTCCTCTCCTCCTCCTCTACCTACACTCTCAGAGACAAAACTCTCTGAGCWTTTAGAGAAACACCTCATGAAGGACAAAGAAGAAAAACAGAAAGAGACACCCCAGGCCTCTACACAAACCAACCTAAATTCTGCTGCAATTGAACAAAGGTTAGCAACGAATATGTCCATTGTGGATGTGACCCGAAAGGAACAGAAATCAGTAACAGATCTACCTATCATGGATGTGGCCCAAAAGGAAGAGACTCTACTGACAAATTTATCTATTGTGGATGTGACCCGAAAGGAACAGAAATCAGTAACAGGTCCTCATACCATGGATGTGGCCCAAAAAGAAGAGACTCTACTGACAAGTCGGTCTATTGTGGATGTGGCCCAAAAGGAACAGAAGCCAGTAAAAGATCTACATATCATGGATGTTGTCCAAAAGGAACAGAAGTTACCAACAGATCTATCTAATGTGGATGTTGTAATGAAGAAACCATCAGGATTACATCCAACAACAAACTACAGCCAGACAGTCTCTCAAATCGGACTTTCTACCACCAAAACTAAGGTAGGCCTTCYATTTCATTAAGAAATTGTTCATTGTACAACAGTATTTATTAATCGGTACGAGAATGTAGCACTGTAGGTGTGTAAGAATTGTTCTCAGAGTTTTAATGGATTTGAACGTGCAAAGCATGGCAACTAAGCACACTTTTTTTTCTAATTCATTTCAAGGTGCCTCGGTTTGAAAGCTGTATCTTTTTTGTCTATGGTACTGTTCCAACAAAGTTATGAATCATCTGCAAGCACAAACAGGAGACATTAATATGTTCTTGGGGTGGAATTTTTTTTTTGCACAGGAACGTTTTCCAATAGCTTTTTTGCTAACAACAAGGCATTTGCATGAGCAGGCTATAACGCAAAGTTATTCAAACATGCTGCTACAGGACATGAACAATACAAAAAGCTGTAATGTATCAATGCCAAAAAGTGGTAATGTTAAAAGAGAACAATTACAAGCCATTAGTTTGGGTGGAAGGAGCAGATTATCTCTTGGCTTTTACTACTGAATAATTGAAATAATGTCCTTGGCTAAAATAAAAAAAAGATTAAAGGTTAAATTGCTAAAATTGTCAGATGATTTCAACAGGTAAACTTTAGCAAAACAACAATGCAAATGTCCAATACTTAAGTTGTGATCCTTGCTTTACCAAAAAGGTGGAAAGTTAATTAAAGTTAAAGTTAATAAAATAGCAAATAGATGCTGGAACCAAATTAAAACCAGCTTTTTTTACGCTGACTTAAACACATTACCACCCATCAAAATGAATGATTGAAATGTGTTTCATTCTGTCTTGCAGACACCTGTTGTAAGAGGGTACCACAAAAGACCTGGAAAGGTAGTGACGTGTTTCTGATCACATTTTGCATCAGTTGCATTTTCCTGCTGTCACAGACTGCACTGACACCTCTGTCTGTGTGTCGCTGCAGATTGTCATACATGAACAAGCACAGTTTGGTGGAGAGGCGTATGAGATTTATGGAGATGTGGAGGATTCGTCACTGATGAAGCTGTCTCCTGTAATATCAGTCAAAGTCGTCCGAGGAGGGTATGGATTTTCACTGGTCTTATGTAGTAATGAAAAAAAAAAAGATAAAATCTGTATATCCATTGTCAGAGGACAAAAGTATAGTAAAAATATTTTAAAATTAATGGAAATAAGTGACCCATTCCATCAAAGTGAAAGTCAAATTTGGTCAAAATGACCTGAGCACATTTTCAGATTCTTGAATTTTTAATCTACATTTGATGCCTGGATCACTGAATCTTATTTCTAGGTATTCTACTGAGGAATGGTTCCTGTTATTTTAAAAAAGGAAACCTCAAACAAAATTTGTAAAAGATTTACCAGCTGAAAAGAAAAAAAGCTTTGCTATCTTGCAGGGAAATTTCTAAGAATTTAAGACTCATGCTCAAAATCACATTTGTTATGGCTACTGCTCAAAAATGGTCTTCAAAAAAATCAGATATTTATTCATTATATGTTGATAAAATGCAGTTGTTGTAAATGTTTTAACCAAAACTAACTGCCTATTTCTCCACATAGCACTGTGGGACTTAATCGATGGGATGATTTTTTTTTACCCTACAGATTAATTCATAATACTGAAAAAAAAAAACATAATTCTATTTTTGTTTATTTATTTTTTCAGCTGGCTCCTCTATGAGAAACCTGGCTTTCAGGGGCGTGTCATCGCTCTGGAGGAAGGTCCATCAGAACAGATCGTGAACATGTGGGCAGAGGAGGGAACTCCAGAGACGCTGAACGAACTGGGTCAGTCGGTTCCAACAGCACCGCTGGTCATAGGTTCTATTCGACTAGCAGTCAGAGTGAGTTATTTTGTTTTTAACACATTCGTCAGTCTCCCACTGTGCTTCTGGACTATTTATCTTACTGTCATTATTCTGGTAAAAATGTTTCTTTTTCTTTGATTTTCCYGTAGGATTACAGCGTTCCCCGAATCGACCTGTATGCAGAGGTGAACGGGATGGGCAGAATGTYATCTTACTGTGACGACGCCATAGAGCTCAGCTCCTACGGGATCCCTCAGACCACTGGCTCCATCAAAGTTCACTCTGGAGTGTAAGTTTAGATGACAGTAAGGATGCATGTTAAGCTGTTTTTATAAATTAACACCTGAGTATTTTTGATTTAGCCCTATCAAAGTCTTTATAGCAGAAGATTGCATGTTTTTAATATCTTAATATAAGAGGTGACAGAAAGGCTGGATATTTATACTCACYTGTATGCAGCCAGTACATATGAAAACATTGTTATCACCTAATGGCAATGTGCTGTTTTCAGTATTGGTGGTAAATATGACACCAACTGTTTAAAAGCTCACAGATKTAAAAACTACTCTGGAGATTTAATGGAGGAGGTTCTGTGATGGAATGCAATCAACAAGCTGTAGCTTGTGGTTGTCACGGTTTGAACTGCTCTACGTTACAGATGGTTAAGAATTACATTTTTTAAATGCTTAGAGAGTGGAGAAGGGTGTTCCTRCGTTTGCGCCGTCTGTTAATAATCATGTAAAATCAGTTTCCCTGCTTGTCTTTCCCCTCCTCCTTCCTTCTTGTCATCGTGTCTGATATGTTGTGTGTCTGGTATGTTGTGTGTCTGATATGTTGTGTGTCTGTCTTCAGATGGCTAGTGTTTTCTGATCCAGGCTATGAAGGCTTACTGGGAGTTCTGGAGGTTGGAGAGTTTCCCTGTCCAGAGAGCTGGGGTTTCCCCGAACCTTTCATCGGCTCTCTCAGACCCCTCCGAATGGTATGCTGGTCTGCGTGTTTTCAGGAATATTTATCAGCTGACTTGTTCTGACAACACGTGTTTTTATTTCAGGGAGCAATAAAGGTGGAGCATCCAACTGAYGTTAAGGTCTGTTCTACTATGAATGTAAACCTTTTGCACAAAAAATGTTGAATTCTATTTATTCTGTTGTTAATTTTTGAAATGGTTCATTTAGAATCATAAATAGAGGTAAACAGTGTATTTTATTTAAATGTTGCCATAATTCTCATTAAGGGTTTTTTTAATAAGTCTTTAAAATGCTAAATGTTATTATTGTTAAAGTTAGTATTATGAAAGTTTTTTTTAGACCAGGGCACTTGTTAATGAGATTTTTAATCTCAGAGTTTTCTAAATGTCTAAAAATAGTATTTTAATATATGCAACATTTATKTATGTCCATACGTTTAAAATGAAGAGTCAACATTTTTGTTTGTTTTACAGAACATGAACTCAAAAAATAACCTCACCAATTTATGCAAAACCACTTTTTTGTCTTTATTTGGCCAGTAGGCCACAGATTTTCAGTTGTTTGTATCTTATACAGTTAGGACTAAATGAGGTCTGCTACTAAACTCAAAGTTGGGGAAACATTACCACAGCTGTTTTTTTTTCAGCACCTTTCAGCTGAAAACCAGTCAGTGGTAAGGATCCCGCCCATGCACTGTCTTGTTTTTGGTATGCTGACGGCTCTCAACCTGCAGACTATTTTATAGCCTGTGTAACCTTTTGATCAGCTGAAAAACGTTGAAAGAATTGTTTCCTACATTTGGACAAGACCGAGCCAAAATAAACACATTTAACTCCGTTTGGGTTGTTCTTTCCAGGCTCTTGTGTTCGAGAAGCCCAACTTTGAAGGAGAGTGTTTAGAGCTGGACAGCGACGTCTACAGCTTGTTGGAACAGGAAGTAAGCGGAACAGACGTCGAGAAGACAACACTTTCCACAGTTGGCTCGATGAAGATACTTGGTGGTCTGTAAGTATTTGAACAAGCAGATGCAGTGGTGGGCACCAGCCCGCTAAAGCGCAAATCCGCTAATTGCGGACCTATTGTAAATATTTYGTTTGYGCTTTAGCGGTCTTACTAATTTTTAAAATTCATAAGCTGATTTGCACTTTTTAAAATTAAAATGCAGTACCGCTAATAACTAATTATCTACCAGTCATCATTAGCTTGAACAGTGGAAGGTATGGCTGTTAATGAATCACAACACACGTGATCTGTCCAACAGCACCCCCCCAGATAAACACACTTATTGGAAAAGTACATCCTTGCTGACTGTTGATTTCGGTCACGGTTCTCATTTCCCACAATGCTTTGTATCTGCTTATGTAGCAGGAAGGCAATAGCAAAAACAGTTAATGTTTGTAATCCGGACTAAAATTTTATATGTATTGATTTATTTTACTTTACTATCAGAGCTCTTTTTTAAAAAATAAAGTTAAAACGCTGGAGGTCAATACTTGACGTAATTGGTCGAAGCAACGAGGTTAGAGAYGCAGAAATGATTTAAAGATGTTATGCTGGTGAAGACTGCCATCTAGTGGTCAACTGGAGCAACTACATGGAAAACTTTAAAATCCGAGCTCTTATTTTGAAGGGAAGATAGTTTCCTGTACTCCGTGCTTTCGTTTCCCGTCACAAACCAAATCTGTCATGTAGTACCCAGAATGCATTGCTTCAGTTTTCCAATAAACAGTTTTAGAATTACTTTATTGATGCTTCTTTAATGAAAAATCTACAACAAACATAACAAAAAGACAAAGAAGCAGCCGAACTAGCAATCCTCAACAACTTTCTAATTTTTACACCAGGAGCYAAAGGTCTGTTTCATGAAATTACATCCCCAGCAATTGGTGGTTGTTGGATTAAGCTGTAAAACAATTCATACACCGCTAGTTGGCAGTGTTGTGCATATATTGTACATGAATTATTGCCAGCTAGTAAGTGTCAAATTGAACTTGTGCTTTAAAATTAGCTTCCACTAGTTTTTTTATGGCATAAGCACTTTTGAAGTTGCGAACCTAAATATTTTCGTTAGCATTTTAGAAATTGCGGAGCTAATTTTTGGATCAGCGTTGCCCACCACTGAGCAGATGTTTGATGATCATCGGCATCTCCTCTAATTTTGGGGTTTACAGGCAGCAGGAAGTAAACTGAAACTGAAAGTGTTTTTGCTTGTTTTTGAAGCTGGGTGGGCTATCAGGAGGCAGACTTTGAAGGCCAGCAGTACATCCTGGAGGAAGGGGAGTATCCTCACTGCAGTGAGTGGGGGGGATCAGAGGACGGGCTTCAGTCACTGCGGCCTGTAGTCGGAGTAAGCATTTGCTGCTAGAATCATTTTTATCCTAAGAAACCAATTTCTGTGCCGTTTCTCTGTAATGAAAGAACAATTTGATGTTATTTCTCACAGGATTTCCAGTCCCCTCACCTCAAACTGTTCAGCGAGCCCAACTTTAAYGGGCGAGGGATTCATGTAGATCTGATGGGTCACGTCCTCAACATGGAAGACATCAATCGCAGCAGCAAAACCCAGTCGGTCGACGTCACCGGGGGAGTGTAAGTCACAGAGTTCCTGCCAACGTCGAGCTCGCTGACGTCACTAGTGTTTTTTTCCACGTGTCATGAAGCTGGTGGGTGTGCTTTTTGCCTAATGGGCGTGACTACGTGTTTATGTCATTATTCACAYGAACATACACACCTAAGCACAGGTGCACACACAAACAGCCTAAGAGGATGAATAATGAACTAAAAATACCAGACTTAATAAAAGATCGAACATTTTAAAACTAAAACTATATGTGAAAATATATTTTACATTTTAGATAATTTGGTGAATTACAGCCCATGTTAAGCTGKAACAGACTGTATAAAATAGTTTTACATGTTTGAAATGTGTTTTTGAGACGTATTATCTTGAAGCACAACTTAGTAGCAATGTGTATTTTTTAGCACCACATCATTTTCCCCTTATTTTCCATAAAAGGGGTGTTTAAAGCTCCATGTAGCTGCCTAGAGAAAAAGCATTGCAGCTTAAGCGTGCCCAAGCCTTTGTTGTCAAGACAAAAAAAAATTGTTTAATCATGAATTCCACTTTTTTGCTTTAAATCTGCCTCGTCTTCTGTTTTGCGGCCTCCTAAATAAATAAACTTCCCGTTTTTATGACGTTAGCTTTGTAGTTCAAGTCAGAGAACCAATCAGATCAGCAGAGCTCACATTCCATCACCACCTCTTCAAAACTCCCCTTACAGTTTCCAAAACTAACATCCACCTAATCTCACGCTTAGAACTCAAACAAACAGCTCACATTTAGTTCTCCCTTCACTTTATTCACTGCAAAAAAGATGTTTGCAACATCAGTAAATAAAAATGCCTAAAGTCACTTTAAACCATTTGATTCTGCCTAAATTAATTGTGAAATTAAAAAAATGAATTCTAGGACTTTAATAATAATAATAATAATAATAATAATAATAAATATTTGGCAGTGAAATTAGTATGATCTCTTATTAATTGGAAGAGTTCTAATTCTTTATCTGCACAACTTCTGGCCCCAGATTTAAAAACAAGGATATGCTCAGGAATACTGTGTCAGTATGTGGTTTTAGATCTTCGATTATTTTGTTTATGCACGCTGCAGCTGGGTGGCGTTCGAACACCCTGGGTTCAGTGGCGAGCTCTACGTTCTGGAGAGAGGCATGTACTCAAACCCAGAGGACTGGGGAGCGCAGAACTTCAAAATCTCCTCCATACAGCCTGTTTTCCATGTAAGCATGTGCTCAGCTGGAAAGGTTATGTTTTGTTATTTTTGCATGAGCTCTTTAAAGAAACATTGCTAACACTTCCTTTGTAATTATGCAGGATATGCTGTCAGGAACAACCAAGTTTAAGGTATCATCTCTTTATTCATTTGTCTTAGAATAAACAACAAGAAGCCTCCAGTTGTTCGTTTTGGTTTAATTCTACGGCTGTTGGGATGTGTTGCAGGTTAAGCTTTACTCTGAACCGGACTTTCAAGGCAAGCTGCTGGTTCTGGAAGACAGTGCAGAAGTTCTGGATGACGACTTTACTCCCAGATCTTGTAAAGTTCTGGCCGGCAGGTAAGAGTGACTGAAGGAAGAGGTTCCCACGTAACAACGTTTAATAGTCAGTAGGGAAAAATGAAATTTCTAATTACTTTGTAATTAAAAGAAAAGTTTTTTTATATCTCATAGTTGAGTAAAATATAAACACAAACATTACAGGATTACACTCGTTATCCCTTCTTAACCATTTATTTGTAAGGTCTAAGCCCTGCCTTGATAATTAAACATTTCACAAATTAATTGATGAGCTCAAAAAAGTACAAACATAAACCAGCTTAAAAAAATGTTTAAAAAGGAGCTTACTGGGAAATATGCTATGTAGGATGGGTGTCTCAATATTATTCATATTAAAAATGTGTAAATAATTGTACATGTAAGGATGAGAATGTAAGATTTAAATGTCATTCAATGTGGGAATAATTTGTTTATCTGGTGTGAGAACATTTAAATGTTTGTTGTATGAAAAGKGCAGGAAACCCAAAGATCTTGTATCTTTTACCTGCTCCTTTTCGAACAAATAATGTAAAAAGGACCTGCCTAGAATGGATTATTAGTTCAAGAGAAAATTGATGGTTTCTTTTCATTTTACTTTTTTATTTTGTTTTGTTGCGTAAAGATTATTATTGATAAATTTATTTGATGGAGAAAAGGCACAAATATTAAAAGATTTTTTTTCTTCTTTCTGCTGCCTTTTATTTCATTTTAGTTTTTTGTATTTAATTTTATTTTTATTATTTTTTTAAATTAAATAAATAAATAAATGTGGCAAAGTTGTTACATGATTAATTTAAGTGTTTATTTCATAGCAGTATTTTTTTCACAAGTTTTACCACAACATAAACTACTCAAGGTTAAGTCTATTCATAAAACAATAATTTCAGTGTGATAACTGTCTAATATAAACATTAATGTGTATCTTTGTGTGTCAGCTGGGTGGCGTATGAAGGAGCCCAGTTTACAGAGAACATGTACGTCCTCGAGGAAGGATGCTACCCAAACACTGAGGCTATGGGTCTCCTGTCGTCAGACTCCAACATTCGATCCATGCAGATCACCGGATGTGTGAGTGTTCTCTGTTACAGAGAGTCCAAATCTGTGCGGCCTGTTTGCAACGTTTGTTTCTGGTTTTGAAGTGGTACGTTTGAAAGAAAGTTTTCTTCTTCTCCAGGAGTTCTCTCTGCCCTCCATCGCTTTGTTCAGCAAAGTGGGCTGCAGGGGTCGCAAGACTGTGCTGAACGCAGAGGCTGTAAACCAGCTGAAGGCAGGAAGGAACGCTCAAATACGCTCCCTGGTGGTGGAGGGAGGAATGTACGTAAATGTCACAACCCTTTAAATTCAAAAAAGGGGTTACCAACTCAAACATTTAGCTAAACGTCCAGCCAAATCTGCATTGCCTTTGTGCCACACCCTAAATTATGTTCATTTAAATTTTAGATGTTCAGCAAGAAACCTGTTCAAAATGTGCCCCTGCCACAGGAATAAAAAAATATCAAAACTGGAGTTCATCTTTGGAATGCAATTTGTAATTTCCTTTTTTTGTGCTCAAGTTGTGTGCTAAATTAAACTACGACAATACCTTCTGCAGGTGGGTGTTGTATGAAAATAACAACTACAGAGGTCGACAGCTGCTTGTCCAGCCAGGAGAAGTGGGAGATTTGCAYCAGTATTACGGCTGGCAACAGATAGGATCTCTTCGTCCACTGGGGCTGGTATGTAAACAGAAAATAGCATCTATCACAAACTTGTATTTTCCATAAATAACATAAAATAAAACAGTTACACATTGACATTTTTATTTGTGAAAGTTTTTTTTAAGTTAAAAGAATAAAAAATAACTAATGGACTTTTTTTGCAGAGCACTTTTTTTTACTCAAACTGAATAGAACATTTATAGTTAAGGACTTCTTGCTCATTTATAAAGGACTGAATTATGAATAAAGTCATGTATTAATAATTTTATTCTGATTATAATCACATAAAAARAGTAAACACGGAAAGATAAAATGGATTTATTCTTTTTATATCAAAATTCTCTTCTACCTCTGAGCCCTTTAGATGGCTGTTCCATGATGACAGCTTAAATTGAAAAAAAGCTTTTTTCTCTCTCTCTCTCTCTCTCTCTCTCTCTCTCTCTTCAACAGAAACCAATGTACTTCCATCTGCAGAACAAAGAGTCGGGGTGTCTGATGTCTCTGACAGGAACAATAGATGACATCAAGCTGATGAGGGTCCAGGCCGTGGAGGAGACRGGAGGAATAGAGCAGATCTGGTTCTATCGGAACGGACTGATCACCTGCAAGGTACGCAACTTTAGTGGGATCACAGAATGACGAGTCTCTCTCCATGTGTTTGGCTCGATTGGACCCTAACTGTCTGTTTGTTCCGTCCCCAGCTGTTGGAAGACTGTTTCCTGGAGACTGCAGGTAACGTGTTGATGTCGGGCACTCGGCTTTGTGTCTCCCCTGAGCGCGGCAAAGAGAACCAGCTGTGGAGCATCACCCAGGACGGTCTGGTCCGCTGCTCCCTCGACCCTGAGCTGGTCCTGGAGGTCAAAGGTGAGACAGCTCGGTCTTAACGTCGTCCACGTTTGATGAGTCTTGTAGCCTAATGGTGAAACATTAAAAAAGGAACCTTGTAGCAGCAGCGTTGCTTCTTTTCTTTCTATAACGGACGAATCGGTTTGTTTGATGCTACAAGATAAAACAGGAAACTTTCAAGAATTCCAGCATTTGCCACTAAAAAAAATTGGATATTTTTTCTCATATTTCTCATATTTTTCTTTTAGCACTTTGAGATTTTTGTTAATGAAAAGTGCGTTACAAATTAAATTCATTATTATTATAAAGCAAACAAGAAACATTGACCAGAACTTTGTCACAATGATTTAGTCAGTGGTTGAGATTGTTTAACCCAACGTCGCCATCTTGTGGGTTGTTCAAGAAATATATCAGAAAAAAATCTCTGTAGGCAGGTGTATAAAGTACTTGAAATAAATAACTAAGGAAAACTACCTTAACAGAAAATGACTTTGGTAAAAAAATTACTTCCACTGATAAAAATAAATCATCAAGTCATAAAGTTGCTCACAATAAAAGGGAAAGTAAAAGTACTTATTTTTTAGAGTGCATAAACAACTCCCTTCATGAGGAGTTCTGGTCATATTTAAATGTGTTACATGTAACCAGGTGTTAAATTTTAAAGTAAAGAAGTAAAYKTATCATTTTTTATGTTTTTGAATGTAGCAAAATAAAAGTAAAAGCTACAGAAAAATAGGTAAAATTACGAATCAAATAAATTACTGTAATGAAGTAAATGTACTTGGATACTATAAACTTGTGGTAGTAGGAAGTATCTGCTGCTGTTAGTGAACATTTTTTTCTTTTCTGATACCGCTGCAGCTGTGAAAGAATCRGATTTGATTTGTGAACCTGTGCTGCACATAAACATCATATTGAATCAGATTTGTAAATGTTCTCTCTCAGGTGGTCATCAGTACGACAAGAACCAGGTGATCCTCAACACTTTGGATGAACRCAAACTGAGCCAGAGGTGGATGCTGGAAATCCTGTGATCTGAGGAGGAAGCTGACTGATTCCCATGATGCACCTCTGTCAGGAGACTGAGCCTTGTGATGCAGCTCCACGGTAGAGCCCACACCAGAGATGGACTCTGCCGTGGATTTAAAAAAAATTTTTTTCTTCTTTATTCTCAAGGAGGAATTTTATTTTTTTTTTTAACAAATAATGTAAAATGTTCTATTTTTATCCACCTGATTGTCAAACACTTCATACCAAAGACTGTTTTCTTTCCACATAATGAAAACTCTGCCCTGTTTCAATGCTGCATACGTTCCTTACAATACGGTACATTTTATCCTAAGGTTCCACTCTCTGGTTTCTTCTTCTTTACACAAATCTGAGTGTCGAAAACACAAATTCAGATGCAGTGGAAAGTTTGGCAGRCCTACACTCCAAATATGTAGGTCTTCTTTTAGCAGATCAAAATGATCTATTGTAAAGTTTTGATATTTCTATAAGAGTTTCTGTTTTGTCATAAACTGTGCTTYTCTTTCAGATGTACATACGGTAAGCCTGGAATGTACAGATTGAGCTGAAATAAAAAAAAACACAACTGCAATAACAATGCTGCCCTCTGGTAGTTGTAAATAATCAAGCAAACTGTTACATAAAAATACATAATAAAAAAAGTCATTTTCACCTTTTGTGTTTATCAGCTCTCAGACTGCAAACTAACACTTCTGCCTCTGCTGGAGTGACCTTTGAAACGGGAAACTTTGTCACAAAGTGGAGTCAGAAAACAACTGATCAGCAATATATTTCAGGCAGAACAGTTTATAGAAACACAACTGTTGCATTTTCTAGGAAGCTTTTTGATGTTATTTTCAACAAGTTAATTATAAAACAACCATAACTGCAGCTTATGTGCACATTTTCCCTTAGAAATGTTGCAGAAGCAGTAACCGTGTTTGCTGTTGTGGAGACAACAAATTGAGTCTGCATATTTTCATTTTGACTCCATTAGTGTAGTGCAGAAAAGAGTCCATGCTGGTAATTAGGAGCTGATTTCAACTACTGTCTTTCCTCGGGCGTGACCCTTCTCCATCTTCTCAAAGGCCTGAGGAACCTGAGAAAAGCTGAACGTTTTCTCCACGACAGCCCGGATCTGAAAACAGAACAAAGAGAGGAAGGATGATCAGTTGTGTTCTTCCTGCTGAGAATTGCAGACACGCAAGAAGGAAGATGATGTCATTTCCTTTAATTGCATCTTATTTTTAATGCTGTCACACTTATATGAAACATACTTTTTTTTAAATCTCCCGAAGTAAAAAAAAAAAACTTTTGACCACCGTTTTATTTTATCTTTGGCAGACATGACTAAAACAGCAGTCTATGCAGACAGGAATAATAATCAACTAATTAAAAACAAAATTGTTCAATTAACGTTATAGTATCTGTATTGGCATCAGAATCTGTGATGCTAGTTATGTAGTTACTGGTATCAGACCAAAACCAAAAATCCTAGCACTGCCCACATCTGCTGAAATGCTTTGGAGGAATAAAACTGAAAGGTAAATAAAAACAAATAAAAGCAAATGAACTTTATTATCCATCRAAGCAAACTAAAAATATCCCTGCAGTCTGAAAGAACTGCACTTTCTCTGCCTTTTTTAAAATTTTAGTTAGTTTATTCATTTGATTTAAAACAAAAAACAAAAATTTATACACGTTAAAAACAAAAAATACACAACATATATTCACAACAAAAATATACAAATTAAATTGAAATGAAAGGAGGCAGAAAGAAGAAAAAAAWTTATATCTGCCCCTTTTTTCTATAATTAATTTCAAGCATTATTGAAGTCCAGCTGACATGAAGATGAAATTTGCAGTTTGCTGTGATTAAAATGACTTTTCCTCTTCCTGCTGCAAGCAGTCCTTAAAAAGCAAAACCTTTTGTGTAAGTTCAGTTAGCTGCAAAGGTGTCAGAATACATCATCTGATATGATGGAATACAGTACTTTGCAAAACATTTCAAGTGAAATATACTTTGCAAAACAAAAGATGTTCTTTAAATGATGGAGAAAGAAACCCTATTTGTTTGAGTTAAAAAAATGTGATAAATAAACTACTTGTTGTCATACTGGTTTCAGAAATGATCTGGCTTCATACCTGTCCTGCATCCACCATCTCTCGTATTTCATCCAGTGCTGGACCGCTTGGTGCAAAGAACCCCCATCGATAGTGMACTCCATTGATTAAATGCTAAAATAAACCAGAAAGAAATTTAATAAACCTTTTTTTAACTCAGATATGCTCATCCTTGTTTTTTTTCTGTATCACAACACAAGCATCAATTAAAAATGCATTTTACGTAAAAGTTAGTTTAACTGTCTTGAAAACCACAGGCTACATCTGTGAACTCCTGTTCCTCAGAGGCGTTGTCATTCTGCTGTGAGAACTGAAGCCAAACAGGATGATAACAATGTGAACATTTTCTCTGTTTTGTTTTTAATCTGACTGACTGGCACTGAAACTGTGCAACAGGTGGAGTCAGTGTGAACGCTCGCACAACAGTGTAGCTGCTGAAAAACAAAAGTGGTGCAGTGCATCGATCCTTCCGCTTCACACCCAACGAGAAAACAAACAAACAAACAAGGTCTCATCAGGACAAATGAAAACCTCCTCATACATTTCCTGCAGTAGTTTTGAAGAGTTTGAACCATGAATACAGATCACGTGGCTGTTGTGATGGAAACAGACCAGAACCAGAAATTTCCAAAGTGGGWTTTGGGATCCCCCCCGCTTTGACTTGTGGGTACGTTGTTGTTGTAAAGTTCATATGAAAGTTAACACACTTATACACAACATCYTTGGGAACAACCCCCCATTGGTTTAACAGACTGATATCGTTCCATGTTTTAAAATGACACAAGAGGTTTCTCCAGGGCTCTCCCGGGATCCCAGCCACACTTTCTTTTGCAAAACTGAAATTAGCTCTGCAAAATCCAGAAATAACATTCTATTCCTGCAGAAGTTAGTCTATTTCTACTAAAATAAGAACAAAAATTTTGTAGTTTACCAATACTCATTAAGAAAACGTATATAATGACAAAATCAATGTCAACAACATTTATATATATACATTTATACATTTATATATATATATATATATGTATTTGTGTCTCAATAAGGGTTGAAGGTTGTAAAGTATCAAATCAACAGGTTGTTAGTTAACAGAATGTAAAGTTATGATCATGCTAACATTTCTAACAGCTTCATATGTAGCTGGTTTATGTCAGATTTGAGCTACAGGGAAAATCTTAAARGATAAAATAAAGTTGCCATGATTGATGTGAATTAGGTTTGTTGGTCAAAACTTTGCAGCTGTAAATCATTTCTTCAAAACAATCAGAAATGTTTGCTTGTCAAGTTAAGCTAGCTGTCACGTTCTCTCATCCTGACCACATCTCCKCGCTCACCTCCACACTTTAGGTCATGCATGCCCTCAGTGTCTTTTGGCCCCGCCCACTTTGTTGGCATTTTTCAAATTTGCCTTGAGGCGGAGTTATGCTTTCACAGTGGGGGTTAATAAAACTTACAGTCTGACACTAAACATTACACAAGTTCTCCTCTTAATTCAAGTACTTCTTCTTGAAAATGTATTTAACTTTAGTAAAATGGTGAAAAATAAATAATGTATTTGATTTAATTTAAAGTTTCTTTTTGCCAAAATCTTGCGCAAAACCTTCTGAAATCTTAAATGGCTTCCTGACAGTAACCACTTTCACCTCTCATCCTGTTTCCTTGGTAAAAAAAAAAAAAAATCTTAAGGTTAGCATAATGTACAAAGAAAAATAAACAAAAACAAAGAACATACTATTGTTGTTTGCAGATGACATCTTTGTTAAATCACAATTATAATTTCATACCAGTGGTAAGTCAACACAGAGCAGTTAACAGAGAAACTGGTTTATTTAGATAAAAATGCAACAGGTGGTGAGAGAAGTTTCTTAGCAATCAGTTTTAAATTTATTCTAAATCTCTAGAGATCATTCTGGCTTTCAAGGTTTGGGAGCCCAGATGCAGAATATTGTTTTTTTTCTTTTCTTCACAAATTGTTTCACTTTTTAACATATGTTTCTTTTAACTCTTTTTGGCGCAAATTTCAAATAAAATCTATAACTTCAACTAAAAAAAAAATGTTATGCGTAAACACTCAAAACAATTATTT